ACGCGAGAGCCAGCGGAGGGCGGGGAGGTGGATGTTGCGATCCCGTCATCGACGTCATGGCGACTTTCCGCGAATTTCGAACTCACGCCATGGCGGAGCAAACGTCGCCGAAGTTCGGCGACGCGAAGTCGCGAAAGAAAGGCCGCCGAAGAGCGTTGCGTTCGCAACGCATTTTCCGGGATTTTTGTTCGGGCTCCTCTCTTTCTCTCTCTCTCTCTCTCTCTCTCTCTCTCTCTCTCTCTCTCTCTCTCTCTCTCCTCTCTCTCTCTCTCGTTTCGCTCCCTTCACCCTTTGACATCGCGCGTCACCTTTTGCGCCGAGCAGAACTCGCGGCATATCCGGCGAATGGCAAATTGTAATCTGCGCGAGCGTGTGATACGAAATTCATCGGCGACAACGCGCGGCGCTTTTTGCGTCCCGGCTAAATGAAATCCCCGATAAATAATACAGACGGGCGCGCTGAATTTGTTTCGGTCGTTTCTCGGAAGATTTCATTGTAAATATTACACAGAGAGAGACAGAGAGAGAGAGAGAGAGAGAGAGAGAGAGAGAAAGGGAGAGGGAGGAAGAGGGAGAGGGAGAGCGCAATAACGAAAATAGCGCGAAAGCTCGCGGACGATAAATCTTCGCAAAATGCATTCGATCAGGTATGACTGGCAGTTACAATCACTGCAAAAACGCCCGATATGGCGCGGCGTGCTGCGCTTTCGCGCGCGCGCGCGCGCGTGTGTGTGTGTGTGTGTTGGTGTATGTGCACGAGCCTCAATGCTCCCCCCCGAGCCCCTCCGCGAAAACCCACCACCGCCGCATGCACAATATTCGCGCGTCGTGGGTGAAAATGCGGCCGAATTAACCATAAATCATCGGCGCGAGATCGACGTGGACGATTATTTATAGTTTACGCGGACACGCGAATGGTTTTTCGGCCATTACTCCGGCCGGCGAATCAGAAGAAGGCTGATGGCTACCATGATAAACACCTTAATAGATCGCGCCGCGAGCATCTCCAAATCGGCGGTCGTCAATTATGCGAGACGGATTCAATTATCCATCTGAAAAATAAATATCGAATTGGCCCCCCCTCTCTCTCTCTCTCCGATGTACGAGTACATTTTCGAAGAAGCACCCCCCCCCCCGGCGCCATTTCCAAATGAGACTTGGCGAGACCCGCTCCCGCTCCCTTTTCCGCCGGGAAGTTACTTTCAATCGAACGGAAGACGCGCGTCGCTCGCGCCAACTCGAGCAGGATGTTGATGAAGCGTCTCTCTCGCGCGGAGATGATCGATACTCGCAGGATCGCGTGATCGAGCGTATCCGAATATACTCGCGGACGGGGCTGGCCGAGAGAGTTCGTCAGCCGCCGTCTTTGTCCGCCGCTGCTGATCCGCGCTTCGACGAGGGACGCACAAAGCGCCGTAATATAATTGCACGTGTTATTATTCGCGTCATGGCAGCAGTGGACGCGACAGGGCATCAAGTACTACGTAGTATCGAGTACGTAGGCGAGTCGAATCGAGCTGGCGACAATTCAGGAACGTCGCGGACGGAAATACCCGCCGGCTGCTCGCTCGCTCGCTCGCTCGCTCGCCGGAGGTAAGTCGGCCGATCGAACGATCCGTTTCCTCCTGCTTCTTTCACCGTTCCTCGCGATTCTTACCGTGAAATTACACCCGAAGAGAGAGAGAGAGAGAGAGAGAGAGAGAGAGAGAGAGAGAGAGAGAGAGAGAGAGCCGTCAGCGGGCGAAATATTTGACTCGCGAGCGCGGGCCGCTCGAATCGAATTCCGTTAATCCGGCTGGCGTTCGCCTTTTTCAACGATACCGCCGTGATAATGATAATAAATAATAATAACAGCGAGCGGTAAACTATGCGCGGGGGCCGCGTGTATACACGCCGGCCGGCGCATTGTTCGCTGCCGCGGCAGCGGTGACTCACTCTCGCCGCGTTCTCCATCCGCCCAAAAGCGGACCATTAATTTCCATTAACCATCGACAAAACTCGCCCATCGATTCCGCCGGACAACCCCAGAAAGTCGCGGCGGGGGGATGGGAAACAGAAGCTAAATGGTATCCACGGGCGCGTGTGAGTGTCTGTGTGTACGTATTTTACGTGCACACGAGGGACACCTCTCCACCACACCTTGGCTCGCTCGCGGGACTTCTGCCTTTGTCACGTACTTTTATCCGACTCGTATAAACCAATAATTCTCCGGCAAAAGCCGCCCTTCTGCGGGACAGGGCGGAAATATGAGCGAGGCGAGTCTCAGCCGGGCTAGTCACCCTTTCGCGCGGGCTTGACTTTCGCGTTTGTACACGTCCCGTTCAATATCGCGTATTATATCGCGCGGTGGCAATCTGTCGCGGCGGTTCTTGCACGTCGACGATATCGCTGCTCCCTCGCCGAGGGAAAAAACACAGCAGCAGCCCCGCGCTTTCTTGGCTCACGCGCGAGAGGGACGTGCGCGCGTGCAGCGCGCTCGTGAAAGAGAACCTCCTCCTCCTCCTCCTGCTCCTCGTCGTCGTGGCCCCTCACTCGGTCATCTTGATCGATGACGTCAGCAGCGGGCAAAACACGCTCCAAATTGTCGCACACGGCGGAGGATTTGCAAGGTGCATGGAAATACCGCGAGACGTTGCGGAACAAAAGTTCCGCATCGCGGGGGAATTATACACGCCCGAAATTACAACCCCGTATATTTATCGCCACTTACACGCGTGTGTTCGCTTTTTCTCTCTCTCTCTCTCTCTCTTTTGTTTTAAACGGTGTGTACGTACGTTTGACTTTTTGCCGCGCGATATCGTGCGATTAGCGAACGCTGGACGGGCTGGTTTCGCCTCTTCCATAGTAATTCATACCGCGAGACGGTATCGGCGCGGTATCCGATTTTGCAAAAAGAGAAAGCAGAAAGATTGCGGCGAGAGATACGATTTTAGCGCAATTTTTGCCGCAACATTCCCCTCCCCTCCCAAGAACTTTCCCCTCGCCCTGATGGTCGATAGACAGTCGTGCAGTTAACGCGCGCGACATGTGCCAGCGAGTTCTTTCGACTGCGTGATTTTATCGTCACCGCTTCCGTTTCACCGAGCGCGCGATTTCTCGTCGATGAAACATTTTTGACGGCAGGGTTATCGCGCGCGGATATTCCGCGCGGCGATATCTCGCTCGCAGGAGCTCGATAATTCGGCCGCGCTTTCCTCGCGACGACGCAAACACACGCGCTCTCAGCTTCGCCTCCGTGTGTCGCGGTTAACTTGCAAACTCGCGCATGGCGTCTTGTATTTTCTTACCTTTGCCGAGCCGCGAGCTCGTCGCGCTCCCTCGGTGTCCCTCTCGCTCGTCGCGTCCTGTGCGATCCTTACAATCTAATGCGCAACTACTCGCAAACTCAGCGAGCGCAGGATTACCGCTGCGTCGCGACGCTTTTCGACGCGACCTCGTTCGACGGTCAATCGAGAGAGCATCGCTTCTCTCTCTCTTTCTCCCTTTCTTTCTCGGTTGCCTCGACTTTAGTATCTTTACCTAGAAATATCACATTCTCATGAAAAGCTAAACCACAAGAGAGAACAAACGAGCGAATAATAGTGAGAAACAAGAGACTCGAGAGACTCACACAAAATTGATCTAAAAAAAAAAAAAAAAAAAAAAAAAAAGAAAGAACCTGAAAAATAAGAAAAAACAATCCAAACGAGAAGTCGCGAGATCTCTTGTAAAATCACAAAAGAATCGCAATCGCCGCGCGTGACGTCGAGATCGCGCTGACGAGCGATTAAAGAGGAAACCACCGGCGGCGGCGGCGGCGACGGCAACGACACGCGCCGTCCTTCGGAATCGTAATCGCATCGTTTGAGCGTAATCACGCACGAGTGCGGTTCGCGTGAAAAGCAGCGACTCGACGGCGATCCGTCATTTACCGACGCATCTGGCCCGAGTCTGGCGCTGCGAAGCTCGACGGCCGCCTCCGCCAGCGGGGGTGCGCCCGTTCCGGCGTACCACCCCCGCTGGGACTCCCCATTGCACCGAGAGGGCTACGGCCATAGGGCTGAAGGGATGCTTATTACTTTACGAGCAGCCGAGAGAGCGCAAGCCCGTACCGCAACGCGCTGTACAACAATGTACACAACGGGCTGCTGTATATTCCCCTCTCTCCCTCTCTCTCTCTCTCTCTGCCTCGTATTGTTGGCCGTCGCGCTGAGAACACGCGGCAGCGGCGGCGGCGGTGGCGGCGCAAGAGACGGACAGCTTAGTGAAAAATAATGGATTTTATTACGAATGTATTTAAGTTATCTTACACACTCTCTTAAGCTCGACCAGCTCGACATATGTACACAATGCGGCCTTAACTATGTTACAAATAAATATAGGTACCTCCGTACTCACTCATGCACGCACACATACACACAACACACACACACACACACATACACACGCACATACATACACAAGCATACAGATATGATCTCGTTGAAGACGAAGCGCGGGATTACGCGATGCTCGCGCGACGAGTCTGACTGAACGAGAGAGAGAGAGAGAGAGAGAGAGAGAGAGAGAAAAAAGAGAGAAAAAAGAGAAAGAGAAAGAGAAAGAGAGAGAGAGAGAGAGAGAGAGAGAGAGAGAGAGAGGCGAAGTTCCCGGGGCGCGTTCGTCTCTCATCGCGGAATCTGCAAAGTGATAAATTACAAAGGACGCGCAAGGACGTCGGGGGCGCATTAAACGTTATGTACAGGTAGGAGAGAGCGACGACGCGGCTATCGATGACGCGCGGTGTACTCCGCGCGGGGCCGAGCGGAATTTAATTTCTAGATTATTAATCTGCATTATACATCTCTCGAGCGGCACGGGATAATGGGGAGAGATATCGATAATTGCGTGAATGGGACACGTTTGATTAAACGCTATGACTTTCTCGCGTGGATTTTACCACGGTCCGCCGGCTCGAAACGCGATAATTGTTTGCGATGCGCGGGTTTCGCGATGTCCGCGAAATCCGCGCGGCGTCTGAAGGGATCCGAAGAGGACGGAGCGGTTTCGAAGTCGAGCACGATTCCGGCCGCGCCGAGATTCCGAATTGCCGGCGTTAATCCTGCTTCCGTGCGCGAAACGGTCGTGTCTCGCAGGATTCAGGGGAAAGAGCCGCGAGCGGTTCCGGTGATCCTGCGAATATTTAAGGATACCAGCTCGGTACAACGACGACGTTCCTGATGAGGTCGCATGGCGCCTCTAATGGCGTGTCTCTCCCTCTCTTTCTCCCTCCCGAAACACTCGGTGCAACAACAACACGAGGGAAGAGGCGCGATCGATGCCCCGGCAGTGTCGAGAATCGCGTAATCCCCCGATCGAACGATTGAAACGCTACGAGAATCGACTCTAAAAAATGGAAATGTGACCAGGAGATTCCTTCCTGCGGAGGGACAGCGCGCGTGTCGCTCGCGCGAACTCATCCCCCCCCCCTCTCTCTCTCTCTCGCACGTACACTCTCGCAAACACACTCGCTCTCCTTCGGACTATCTACTTTAAGATTAAGACACGGCAATGCAAGTACTAATACTATCTCTCTGTGCAGCGTGTGCGCGTGTCCTTGTGTGTGTGTGTGTGTGTTGTATGTGTCTGCGTATATTTAAATTAGTGTGTCGGTAATACGTACAACAACTACAACAGATCTCAGAAAAATATAGACTCATCGGCGAATCGGCTCCCACTGGCTAGGACCTCACACACCTGACACACACGACGCTCGAATTTCTACGACCAGGCATGCCTAGGACACGAACGCGTGGAAAAACGCGCGGCGCATGGCTCGCAAAGTGGCTGTGTGTGTGTGTGTGTGTGTGTGTATGTGTGTGTGACCTACGACCTACGACCTACGAATTACACCGTGTGTAGGACCTACAGTCTGTGAACGGTGCTCGCGCGGCGCAAGGACGCGCGTCAGGAGACGCGTCATCATCGCCTGTCGCGTTTCTCCTCGTCCTTCGTAAGATCAATCCCGCCGATTACATCCTCGAGTCCGACGGCGAAGTGTAGCGTAGCGCAAATTTCGCGCGCGCTGAGCGGCAGCGAGAAAGAAAAAGGGAAAAAAAAAAAAAAAAAAAAAAAAAGCAAAGGAAACATTCGGCCCAGCCCCGCAAAGCCACGTTGTGACGCTGAAATTGAACGGGGCTGCGCGAGCTGTGTGTCGGATCGCTCATTTCGCAAATATTGCGACGCACGTAGCCGCGGAAAAATAGTGCGAAAACCCGCTCCCCTATGACCCGCGGAAAGGGAAAATTAGTTTGACATACCTAGCTCGCAGCTTCGTTGCCAGTCGGCTCTCGCTGTGTGCATGTGTGTGTTTCCCGAGGCCGATCGGATCCCCGTGGAGAGCTCTCGCCGACTTGGACGAGTCGTAATAACGCGTTCTAATATTTGTTCTAATGTCTCTTTACTTTCAATGAATTCCACACTCGCTCGCTCGCTCGCGGAATCGCGACGATCGGGCCCGAGAAGAGCCTCTCGCGCGCTCTCGCCGACGAAACACACACGCGCGAGAAGAGATGATCTCGCCGGCCTGTGATTTCATCCGCACGCTTCTTCTCTTCTTCAGCCTCGCCGAGCGAGCAGGAGAGCGATTCCTCGTCCCCGCTTAGACTTCTTCCGCGCCGATCTCTCTTCTCTTCTCTGCCCAGGTCGACGTACCCGCCTCGCGCGAATCGATAGATCGCGATTATTCGACGAAATTGATTTCAGGGCGACGATAGTTCGTCCGTTCGTTCCGCACGAGCGCCCTTTTCCGAAATCGAGGCGGAAACGTGCCGGAAAGACACGTTTGCCTTCTTCTCGTACCTCGCTATAAATCTCACCTCCGTCTTTCGCCCGGCTGCTGTTACTCCTCCTCCTCCTCCTCCTCCTCCTCTTCCTCTCCTTCTCCTCCTCTTCTCTGCTCGTCGTTCTTCCGAGCGTCGGGATCGCCGACGAGAGAGCTCGTAGTAAGAATCGCTCGCGAGCGGACTCGCTCGTCCTCCGCGAAGAATCTCGCCGGTTAATAATGGAGTATTTTTATTTTGTCCTTATCGCGACGTCGCGCGCAGAAATCGGGTCAGTCTTGCGTGGCAGCGTGGCGCGGACACGAAATCAGCGGCCTCCTCCATGATCCGTCGTCCAACGATCGATCGATCGATCGCTCACTCGCTCGCTCGCTTATTCCCTTGATCGATCCATCCATCTATTCATCCAAACGCCGTTCTTCAGCTGCTGTCCGGCACATCGCGTCGCGATCGCGTCCTCTTTTATGTACCATTCGCAAGATCTTCGCGACGTGCATAAGAGAAACGTACTAATGATCCTTCTTCTGCCTCCCCCTCCCCCCTAGCGAATCTTTCCGCGCTTTCGATGCTGCGTCTCTCTCTCTCTCTCTCTCTCTCTCTCTCTTTCTCTCTCTCGTACGACTCGTATTTCTCTGGAGTGTCCTATTTTCCCTCCCGTCAGTCTTTAATACTGATCTCACGGCTGTTACTTGCTTACCATTCGCGATCGATTAACGTGATCTCTCGCGCCATCTCGTAAATGAAAAATATCGTCCCTTTGAAGAAAGGAACTCGGTCCTCTCCTTGCTGCTTGCTTCCCTCTCCGAGTCCTTCAGCGTCCTCGGATCTCCCTTCTTCCCCCTCGCACCTAATGCTCTCTTTGTTCCCTTTCGAAGTCTCTCTCTCTCTCTCTCTCTCTCTCTCTCTCTCTCTCTCTCTCTCTCTCTCTGTCTCCATCTTTCCCCCTTCCTCTCCGTCTCCTCCTCGTTCTCTCTTCCCTCTTCCACCGGCCTCTCTTCGAGCACTTCGAAAATAAGGAATATATTCTCTCTGAAGCGAAGAATGATAAAAGCCGCATGGCCTCCCTCTCTCCCACCTCCTTCCGCGCGTCGGTCCATGTCTTAGGACTCCTCCGCGTTCTCCTCCATCCTACGTGCTCCTCCTCCTCCTCCTCCTCCTCCTCCTCCTCGTTCTCACCATTCTTCTCCCCTCGATTCCCTCTTTCTCTCTTCCACTCCCGCTCCCTCTTTCTCTCTATCTTTCGAAGGTAAAAAATGATCCTGACGCGGCCAATTACGTGAAGTATCTCATAAGGAGAATAAGCGTCATTGGCATAATGGCGGGGAGGTACGGCATTGAACTACCGCTGTACATGGCGCACTCCTCGTGCGTATAGGGCGCGCAGTGCATCTGCAACACAAACGAACGGGGTTCGTCCGTCTTTTAGAACAGCCGAGCGCGCGCGCGCTCGTTATCGATTTTACTACTCGCTAAAATCGACGCCCCGTCTCCTTCCGTCCTTCCGACGCTCCCCCCCGACTTACTTCCGCGCGCATCTTTAACCTCTGGATAATGGACTGCGAATGGCAACGATCGGGGGGCAACTTACCGAACGAATTAATTACTCCGGCACGACACGGCACGGCACGGCAATGTGCGATATGAGCGGAAGCAAGCACTATTTACTTTCGGTCCTTGTTCTCGACAATGCTAATCCGCTAAACGGGCCGAACGAAACCCATAGTACATACGTTTCTTCTCCTCCCACGCGCGGTAATCGCCGGCACGAAATAACGCAAACAGAAGGGGGGCTGCGAGGAAGTTTCTCCGCGATGACAAATCAAGCCGCGACGCGGTTTTCGGTCGTCAGCTCGCACGCGATATCGCGATGGAAAAAAGAGGACGAAAGTCCGCGAGGGCAGCGATTAGCTGTCGAGAGCCACTCTGACAGATCCTTTCGTTCTCGGCGACAAAAGCGACGAGAGCCGTGGGGACGTAACGTGATGGGTAACACTCACCTTCATCAGCGAGCTTGACAACCTGTCGAGGAATTCCTTCGTGAATCGCGCTGCATCATCGCCACACTGACGGCGTACCGTATGATGAGAGCATTCCAAGTACTCCGTGAAGGCGCTGCACAAACATACATCCCAAATTCTGTTCAGTATTCCACCCCGTGGCGCGAGCACTTTAGACGAAACGTCGTCGTACATATAGCGCGACCCGACTGATGCGCGAAAGATCGCCAGGAAAAACGCGACGATTCGGGACGAAGCGCGCGCGCGCGCGCGATCTCGAGCAGGATCTCGAGCAATTCCGCCTCGAGGAGCGAAAAAACCGACCGCCGCGTCGGCATCCGTTTGATTTCGCTGGAACAGCGCGATTCCAATTCCAAACAGTGCGAGTCGAATTATCATGCGAGATGCGCGGAGGAGAACGTCGTGCGTCTCAATTATTTAGCTCCATTATTTACTCCGAGCGTCATCGTCGCACACGATGACACTTTCGACCGACGCTCGGAGAAGCTCTGCGGAAAATCGCGACTTTGCCGAGTAAATTTCCCGATTTGTTTAGCGCGTGTAATTTCGTTCGTGGCTATTTTCTTGCGTGGTGGCTCTCGCCCGCCTCTTTCTCCGCCCTCTCTCTCTCTCTCTCTCTCTCTCTCTCTACTTTCGGAGCCTAATTGGATTTCCGCGGGAGGGGAACAAAATGACGCGAGAAATGTGTTTTTGCGGATCTGCGTTATCCACTTTTGGGTCAGCATACTTATGCCCCTGCCCTGCCGCCCTCGCCCGTTCCCACCCTTTCCGAGGGATGCGCAAGTTCAAAAGCTGCAGTAGACCGTGGCAGAGATACGCTAATGACATTACCCCTCTGTGTGGTGTGTGTGGGTAGCCAGGCATCAGCGTGAAACTCGCGACCTAAAGGCGACTGATTACGCTCTTTTTGCGAGTGCTTTGAGCAACGCCGTCTTTATTAATACGATTGTTTCGTCGGTGAGCTTTTAAGTGTCGGATTGTCACGGCCGAGGAGCGGCTCGCCTCCTCGTCGCAGCTACCCTTCGGAATTTCGAAAGTATTGCATTCTCTCCCCCGCCCCCTTTCTCGAATGTACTTGTCGGGTTTTATGCTTTACTTCGTTCCGGGAGAGGATCTCGTATCTTAACTCGATTTTTCTTCCGCGGAGACGTTAACGTCGACCTGGAAACGGGTCGCCGTCGGTCTGCTCGGTCCTCGAGGGATCGTTACGACGCTCGTCGAGACGCGGGAATGTGACGTATGGAGAGAGCATAATTGTCGCGCGTCTATACACGCGTCGCTCTGCGTATTCGTTACACGCCGTTCGTATTGTTGCTCCTGAGGAGCGTCGGACGCGACTCCGTGATGAGCGCAGATCGACATGACAGAGTCAACATTCGGCGCGAGATTACCGAGGTTTTCTAATCGCACCCCTCCCCCCCCCCTCGGAGGACCCGTACGCCCGCTCAAGTATCAGCGATACAGACATTCCGGGCCAAGTTATCAGAATTCTGTTGGAATTAGATCATCAAGATCGCCGGCTAACTTAAACACGGGCTAAAATATTTTCAATCGGAATCCCCTCCCCCCGCCCCCCGCAAATCGTTCAGCTCCGCCAGAAAATTGCTCCATTCTTGGCCGAAGTTTCTTCTCCGCGCGCGCGCGCGCGAATTCCTTTCCGGGCATTAACATTCTGCAGCTGCCATTTCCGGGCAGGATCCACGAGGAAGATACGCCGTGATACGCGCGTGTTGGATTAGAAAATCCTGACAAAGCACGAAGACGAGAGAACATCGCTTGTACGCGCGCACGTCGATCGGGGGATGACCATCTGCGTAAGTTTCGTCCAAGTAAATTCCCGCGCGGACACACATTTCTCTCGGCCGCCGGCGCGCCACTCGAGAGTTTATTTTCGCACGGGGAAGCCGGTAAGCCGCGGCCGCGCGCGCGGCTTCGGATAAAATAGTCAAGGTGGAGTCTACATTTTGAAGAGTGGCTAGGTCAAATTGACTCGCGCTCCGCGTTCTCCGAGTTTACCTCCGCGTAGCCGCGAGCTAACAGAGTTCGCCGGATAAGCAAATGGACCGTGAGCACGCTCTGTTTACGAAGATGTGCGAGTTCCGATAAAATCGTCATATCGCTTTCGTCTAATGCAAATTTTGCATGACCGGGCCGACGCCCGGTAACAACGGACAATGGCGCGGCCCATTGTTTTCTTTCGCTCACCAGCATAGGGACTTGAGGGAGCCCTGGCTGGCGGTGGTGCGGTTGGCTCTCTCGATCTCTTGCGTGGTCTTCTGGTACCTCTTGTAGCACATCTCGTACTCGGCCTTGACTTTCTGCATACACGGTGCGTGCCTGAGGAATTCTGCGAACAGAAAATCGTGTTCCTTCAACTTCCCGTCGCTCTCTCTCTCTCTCTCTCTCTCTCTCTCTCTCTCTCTCTCTCTCTCCCTCTCTCTCTCTCTCTCCCTGCCGTAGCGAGTTTCCGCGTGAATCAGGGCGGAAAATCAATGAGGAGATCCCGCAGGCAAACAGGTCGACTCTATGAAAATATGCTACTTCATATCACAGATGGACAGGAAGAGAGAGAGAGAGAGAGAGAGAGAGAGAGAGAGATAAAGAGGAAAGCAGAACGATATATAAGCGAGCACCGGAGAGCGCAGTTAATAAAAGTATATCTTAAATGAATTTTTAATCATGGCAAAATTAAGATTGGCATTCGAGGACGCTATTTTCTGAACTCTGTAAACTCTGTACATCAATTATAACTACCGCCGCTTCATGTATTAACGGAAATTAATCGGGACGCAGGATCGATCTCCGAGCCGCCTGCGATTTTATATCTGGAAAGATAACTCGTGCAATCGCGATCAATGATTGGAGGAGTAAACACGGTTTTTCGTTCCGAGATGCGGCAACGCGCGCGACAAGGCCGTTTTTCCCGGCTTGTTGACGATATAAGAGCGCCGTATATATCACGCAGGCTAGCTGCCGCGCCGGCGGGAGGAATCGATGCTGCTCCTTGCTAACGATTCATTATGTTCAGCCTCTCCGGCTGAGAGTACATTATGAAGAGTCATGCCGGTTCGATCGACCCGCGGACAATCTACGCTACGATATTCCTGTAATCTCGAGAGTGCCGGATGCATTATTGAGTCTAGTGCTATCTCCGACTGGAGACCGACAGTTTGGAATTGCATTGATGCCGCTTGCCCAATTGGCGATGGGCTTGCTTCGCCGGCTGTGGCGGACTTTACACGTTATTACTCTCGCCGATAACGTAAGATCCACGAGAGGCGAAATATTTTAAACGCCGCTACGGCGCGACTGCGTCTCGGCGAGAAAAAAGTCGAGCAGCGCGCGCGAAACGCGTCGTTCCGCGCCGCGATGAAGGGCGTAACAAGTCACTCCCGGATCGTCCATCTCCCCTTTTCTCGGGGCCTCCTCTTTTTCCCGGGGCGACATTCTCGCCTTTCTCTTCGACTCCGGAAAGCCGAGCACGCGCTTGTACCATCTCATTCTCGACACGAAATGTCAAACATCGCTAAGAAGATGCGCGCGATCTATCGCGTCGTATTCTTCTCTCTCTCTCTCTCTCTCTCTCCTCGCCTCGCCTCTCGCCTTCTCGGCGAGGTTCATCATTCGCAACGATACTTCCGCTACTGCCGCTTTTTCTACTTCCGCTCATTCATCGCGGCCCCGCGCGCAAAGGCAACTCTCGCCAATTACATTTCGACCCGGACGAGCAATATTCCGAATCAGTCCGATAATTTAAGCAGGAGCACTCACCGTCTTGGTACGGGCCCTCTTGGCAGAGCTCCATGATGGCCATGTTGGTGCCGGTATAGAGCGAGTTGAAGTGTTCCCTCTGCTTCTCCTTCATGCAATTGAGCGTGTACCTTTTGATGCACTTCATACCAGCCTCGAGATCCCTGTGCAGCGTAAGAGAAAAAAGGCATGTAGCTCTCGTTGCTCGGCTACTCGCGACGACGACGAATTTGCGTTTTCGGCGAACGGGCCGGCGACCGAAGGTCATCCAGAGGGATGTCGCGCCGGATTTATTAATAGAGGCGCTACGCGCGGTGATGTACACACGGCGAGAATTACCGCGGGTAAACATGTGCTTCGCGAAGTCCGACGGTGTGCGCGTTTAAGCCGGCGATAATAACATCGCTCGGCTACGTCAATGGAATACCTGCCAAACCGTCTCTCTCTCTCTCTCTCTCTCTCTCTCTCTCTCTCCCTCTCGGCTTATTCACCGCGGAGTACATTCGTTCGAGTCGTCACAGCAGACGCGAAGACGCAACAACCATTTCTGGAAATATCAAGCGAGAGGCTCGATCGTTTCACTCACGTCACCGCGGTCTCGGCCATTGGTATCAATTAAAGGGCGAATCGGCCGGAATAATTTGGAGCTTCCGCGCCAATGGCGAGAATCGCAAGTGGCCGGGAATACCTCTCGACGGTCTATTTGTAGCGATTCTCACCACACCGCGGACGTAATAGTCGAGTTTCTTCGCCTTCTTTTCTTTATATAGCTGCCACTTACGTTTTCTCTGAATTTTCCTCCGAGTCGCTGAGCGATTTCATCATCGCGCGCGAGGCCATCGTCGAACGGCCACGCCGTAATTAATCGCCGTGACATTTGCCGAGCGGAGGAGCTCGGAAACGCGAATGGGACACGCGACCATGTGGCCTGCCGTCTTGGAGGGATCGCGTGTGAAACGGAGAATCCGAAGCATCGGGAGAGCGAATCGACTCAAGCTTCACAAACTGCCGGCCGCTCCGGCGTAGCGAGCTATTAATAGCGGCACGTGCGTTCCACCTTCGTTCTTCCTTCGAAAATCGATTACGCAAAAACGCGACTTCTCCCGCGCGGCGAGGGATTCCGTCGCGCCCTCGGGAAGCACAAACGTAAAAATATCGCGGCGCACACGACGGTCGCCGCGACGGTCTTCGTCGGCGGCGTTATTACCGGGACAGTGAAGCGGAAAGCGACGGAACACGGGAGGGCGCAACACGGGGAGCATCCTGATTAATAATTTGTCATATTGGCTTTCGGCCGGCGAGCAAACCGGGTCCGAATGAAATTTAAAGTTCTATGAAACGAGCCGAATTTCTGCGCTGCCGCCGCCGCCGCCGCCGCCTCCGCGGCCCAACTAAATTGCAATCGTAATAAGATTCTTCAGCGAATACGCTGAAAATATCGCGCGAGATATCCAGCCAGCTTGCATGCAATCATCCACTCAATTACATACGTAGCCCCGTCTCTCGCGCCCGTCGAGTCTCGGCCGAGGAGGAGAGAAAGGGAGCGAGAGGGCGGGAGAGAAGAAGAGAGATTCGAGCGATCGAGCATTGCCCGTTGTGTGATAAGCCCGGCGCACGGGCCCGATACGATCGCGAAATTCGGACGAATATAATGGACTAAGGCAGATAGGAGAATGTCGGATATTATTTTCCGGCGTTCCAATTTCGCGAGAGAGAGAGAGAGAGAGAGAGAGAGACCGAATTTCCTCCTTCTCCTCCGCTCGTCCCCCGCTCCACTCTACCTCTTCCTCCACATCCACGAGTCTGATTTTGTTGGGTATCAGCGATAAATTATTCCCGACACACCCCTTTTGTGTTTTGCGCCGTCCGAGATATTGTTCATCGCGGTTAACGACGACTCAAATTGCGCATTTTCAATAATATTATAAAAACGCACGCGAGATATAATTCAATGGCGAGTCCGCGAGGAAGGGTCGCCAGAAGAGCATTGTATTTATCCGGCTCCCTTTTATCTCCCGTAATGTCACAATTAGCGCGATTAACTTCGCCAAGGACTCGACGCGTTCCCGCTCGCGCTTAAAATTGATACGAACTGCGACGAGGGGCGACCGGGCATTTATTTCTCTCTCTCTCTCTCTCTCTCTCTCTCTCTCTCTCTCTCTCTCTCTCTCTCTCTCTCTCTCGCGACGGAAAATTTCCCGTGGCGAGCAGCAGCGGACGGAAGCGGGAAAGGGTGGAAAAGTGGAGAAGAGATGAGAGGAAGAAAAAGTAGGAGGAAAGAAGAGCAGAAGGAGGAGGGCGAAGGAGGAAGAAGATCGTCACGAATTCTCCGCGAGACGGAGCGTCACGGAGAGCCGCAGCGACGTCCTCATGGAACATGTAAAGGCGACGAATAACAACGGACGTTTCCGCTTAAAGAGATCGCCCGGGCGAGAAGAAACTCACGGGCATAGTTTGTTGAATTCCTCCTTTTTCGTCACGAGACTCAGGTCGTTGCTGTTGATTCTCTCGAGGGGCCTGGCGCACCTCACCAGCTCCTCGTGTCCGCACTCTTCACCTCGGCAGCTAGCGAGCACTGAAACAGAAACGCGATAATCGGGTTAGCTGAGAAGGGGCGAGCGAGCGAGCGAGCGAGGAAGGGAGGGAGAAAGAAAGAGGCAGAGAAACGTAGTCGACTCGCGAAATGTAAGAGGCAACAGGGATTCGATACGTCGACCCCATCGATAACAACGCTTATTAGCAGGAAATCGCAAAGAGCACTGTTTCTCGAATTCGATTAAGCGCGCGCGGAATTGATGTTGCAGTGTGATTGCAGCGGAAATATCAAACAAGTTTAATTGACGTGGAAACAATGCAGATTGCAGTGCCTGAAACTTCATAGCACGCGGTGACGGAGAGCCCGATATTCTCTCATTTCGATAGAATTGTCATATCCGTGCGACCGTTCCGAGAACCCGCCCCGTCCCGAGAGTCGCCCTCTTCAAGTTTCATCGCCGGCCGCGCCGGAGAAATTTACATCGCTTTGTAGCGGCGAGAGTTTATAAATCGAGAAAAGATCACAGCCGGATCGCCTCGAAACTACGGCGGGTCGCGCCGGGCGCAAAAAAAAAAAGAAAACTCCGTTTCGAATTAATCAAAACGGATCGGTCGGCGATTTATTACTCCAAAAAGCCTGACTCGCACGCGCGTGCGCACACGCGCGCGAAAAGAAAAAAATACCTCATATTTTTCAATTGCTTGTAACTCAGATTTATCGAGCGCCCTTCTTCCTTTATCTCCCCCCTCTCCCTTCTCCCGCGCCGTCGAGTCGGTGTATATATCTTTTGTATCTAAATTTTGAAAATGAAATTACACCTCACACCGCGCGACTCTCACACACGACAGAACACACACCGACGCACACACACGCGCGCGCATACAAGATGCGCGTTGTTCGCGCGTGTGAGTATCGGTCACACACAAATTCGGGATGCGGGATAAAAAACACAGGAAATGCATTCGCCGGCTGGCTAATGATGACGAATGGCGCGCGATATTATCACGGCGTCATGTGCTGTGCCGTTGGCGAAAAACCATTCGTTCATATTAGGAAGTTGATTTGGATTTAATGGGCGCATTGTTTGCTCAGTTTAGCAGCGCGCTTTCGTCGCACTTTTCGACCAACTTTTGCCGATTCATTAGCAATTACATCGCCGCGTGTACAATTTGCAAAACGTTGCGTGCGTGTGTGTCGCGCACATTCGCGCGCAGGATCCCCCCTGGAAACCGCCCTTAATCTTGCCCCCAACGGAGATTCCTGCGCGACTGCCGAATAAATATCTCTCGCCAGGAGAAACTATTTGTTACAATAAAGCTCTCAATAAAGCCCGGGTTTATGAGCGTCTCGACTCGGCGCGGCGGCGAGCTTGGATTGATATTAACCCAAAAAGCTATCGGTGCCGCGAGATTTTCATTAGGAGCAGACCCGCGTCCCTCCACCGAAGCGGTCCAAGAAACCGTCATATAAATTAAAACGCGGACAAACTGTATAAACATCTGCTTGCGGGTCGCAGCTTGCATCGCGGTCCGCCTTTTAAAGGGGAGAACGCGAATTATTCAGCGTGTCCGCCGGGGGTTTTACACCTCCGTCGTAATAAATAAGCCATCGAGCGAGAGAGAGAAAGAGAGAGAGAGAGAGAGAGAGAGAGAGAGAGAGGAGGGAAGGGAACGAGGTCAAGATCGACTTTTCTCTCTCGACACCACCAAATGAACTTATAACTTCCGCTCGAAACCGATTACCCAGAAGTGCCACTTTCCAGGTAATAAAAGAGAACTGCTGGCAAGGCCGCCGCTGCTGTGCTCTCTTCGTCCCTCCCTCCCTCCCTCTCTCTCACTCTTTCGTTGTGTACCACCCGCGATTCCCCCTCCCTCTGGCCCCCTCCAACCCCCATGGGTTCACGTTTCCGACATTTGCGTTGGTATAGAATTAATGGGGGGTAAATGGAAAGCAACATCGCGCACACGCTCGCGCAACATTTCTCACCGGGAGGAATTAAGATGACTGATAAATTAGGAAAAGAGAGAGAGAGAGAGAGAGAAAGGAAGAGGGGCAAAGAAGAGAGACAGCGAGGAGCCGTAATTAAGTTTATCCTTAGGAACAGTATCCGGCAAAGAATGCGACGAGAGCAGAGACACTCTGCGATCTATTCACTTCTCGCGGCGTTTTTCTTTCAGCAGACATCGCAAGAAGTGCTCCAGAGACGAGCATTTCGGTAACTCTACGAGTATTAACTCGGCGACTCCCTCTCCCTCTCTCTCTCTCGCTCTGCCTTGACGAACTTTACTGAAATAACTGAGTATTATATACTTAAAGCGCGCGCGCGCGCGCGTATCCCAAATGAAATCGAATTGCTACAGTCCCGATGAATTATTCGCCTCGTTTGATGTCTCGTGAATTATTCGCGAGCGGTTGAAATGTCTCTCGCGGTGAAGATTTCAAAAGGGATCGCGACGAAACGAAATGGTGCGATATTAAGCGGCAAGAAGTTGGATGAGCGACACAGTAGTTTGTAACACGATGAGACTAATGTATATAAAGCGAGTTTGATAAAACTTTTCGAGTCAACACACACACACACACACACACACACGCGCGTGCGCGCGCGCGCGCGTTTTCGTGAGGTTATTTCTGGGCTGGCGGGATCTGCGCGTTTTCGGGAAGCCACGCTCCTAATAACTCAAAATGGATTACTTGCTCGCGTGCCATATAAAATAATCTTTGTAACCCGCGCCACGCGGGTATTTGCGAACGCGGCCGTGCGTCGGGATAAACATTGCAAATTAATGTTTGCAATCGTCGTTGTTACGCCGCTACCAAGACGAGATTGTTAAAACATCCGACGATAAACATGATTCTCGTCATATTTGAAGAAGAATCTCATATTTCTCCTCCTAAATTGATCGTCCGCTTTAACAAGATGAAACTTCCGGGGAGGGGAAAAAGAAAAGGCTGGAAGAGGGGGAGCGGGACGGGCATTATCATGGGATCCCTTGAAGAAAGCTGACTCTCCTCGGCAGCTTCAGTGAGAGCATTCATTAAATTTTCCACGTTATCAAGTAATTACTGAATAACTCGTCGTAACTTAAAATACTTTAAATATGGCGCAAGTTCGCGGATACTCTCGGACGTTGGTCAAAAGTTACCGAGCGCGGAACGTGGAGATATAAATAAAATAACAAACAGCTGCGCGCACGCGCGCGCGCGTATTCTTGTGCGCATTGTATCGTTACAATGGCGCATATAATACCGTAAGTGTGTGTGTGTGTGTGCGCGCGCGCGTGCACATAACCAGTCGTGGCATTGTACTGATATAATAAATAATATAACGACATTATATATAATAATATAATAAATAACATAACGCCATTATAATGATATAATAAGTAACAAACAAAATATTATTGTTACCGACGCGCGGAAACGTAAACATGCGAGTTTCGCACAGCCGCGGGGACGGCCGAAAGGGTTGCAGAGGAGAGGCACGGTCGTCATATTTACCGGGTAGACTCTTATCGAGCGGAGAAATTGCATTCCGGAGGACAAAGCGCACGCGAGTCCCGCAACGAGCGTGTACGGTTACGCGGCCGTACGGTGCGGCGATGCGTGCGACTAACTCCGCGAAATCCCTCGTGCGACGCGACGCTCTCCCCCTCCCCCCTCCCTGCCTCCCACCGACCTCGACGCCATTAAATTTAATTACAAACTATCGAAATTATTGGAGGGCTCGGCGGGACGGCTACGATAACGACCGGGGCCGCCCGCGAAACCGCCCGCGGCAGCCCCATGGCGGCACGATCGTTTTGTAAACGGCACGCAACAATGGAACGGCGCATCTGCGCGATAAATCTGCGAGTCCGTCGTCCTTCGGCGATTAATAGATAGCGTTATCCGGACGAATTGTCGGGATTTATGGAGCCGCCGATTTAAACGGCCGCTGACGCCTCGACGCTTGAATAGCGCTCGGCCTTGGAGAGAGCAGGCGTGCAGAAACGACGCGTGTCGGCCGGTTCTCTCTCTCTCTCTCTCTCTCTCTCTCTCTCTCTCTCTCTCTCTCTCTCCTCTCTCTCTCTCTCTCTCTCTCTCTCTCTCTCGCTCGCTCTCTCTCTCTCTCTCTCTCCTTCCCTTTGTACTTTACGGCGAAGCTCGACAGTTTTAACAAGCTCCCGTGATATAACGTCGTGCTTGAACTACGCGAGAAGAGGTCGCGCGCGAGCGAGAAATTCACAGCCGAGAAAATTCGCGCAACAGATATATATCGACGCGGCGAAAATGCGGCGGCGCACGCGGTGCGCGAGCGCGACCGCTCCCGCGATTCCTCCCGAGCGTTTGACGGCTGATGAAAGATGGGCTCGACGTAACGGTGCGGAGGATATTTGACGAAAATCCGCGAAATCGCGAGTCCAGGCGGCTCGAGATTAAACGACTCAAAGCACGAGTAGCCTCGCTCGCGCGCAGCGGTCATCCCTAGTCACGGGGTATACACGTCGTAACCCATTTTCCCGTTACCGATCGTGTTTCGTCCTCTCTAGCTCTTCTTCTTGCTTTCTCTACTCGGCTAAAATATCACTCGTGAAAAGAGTGCCGGCTTATGAGAGAAGAGTTCCGTGTAACACTACTCCGTGCCAGTGATTCTCCAGCGAGGAGGAGTCGAATTATTCAAGATCGCGCGAGAATGACGACAGTTTCGAGATTTCAATCTGAGGTCAAATCGAACAAGTAATCCGCCTACATCCAGAGATAATAAAAGAGAGAGAGAGAGAGAGAGAGAGAGAGAGAGAGACGACCGTGTGCATAATCAAATCAGCACGTCTGTAATTTCGAACGTCCGTTCGATCGAATGGAAAAGCGTCCGGCCCGATTAGCGACGCAAATTCGCCCGTCGCATTTGTTTGCTCGACGACGCGCAATCGGAGAATTAGAAACGAACAATCTTACATAATCCCCGCGCTTTAGTCTCAGATGACGAATGGCGGACTTCGCGTCGACGGATTTTGCGCAATTAGCGGAAACACGAGGTACCTCAAATCGTCTCGTTC